GGTGAACTGAACTGAATTATTTTATTTTTGGATCATTTTTTTCTATATATGAATACAGACAATAAATTATAAATATCGCAAAAAATAGTTGAATTAAAAAGAATTTATGGAAATCCAATTTATGGAAATCTTAGAAATTTATTTTTACAAAATAAATTTGTTTTTAAATCTATGTAAAAAATCTTCTGCAAAAAATTATGATAAATGTACTCACTCAGCAACGTATGGATGCTCCAGCGCTTTAACTGCGGTAAGTCGTTGCGAAGGATTAAAGACTATCAAATTGCTAATAAGGTCCAAGGCTTTTTCCGACACTTCCGGTAACAAATCTTTCAAAGTTCGTCTGGGCCCATTGGGTGTCTTCTCCAACAAATTACTTCCATAACCGGCGCTAACCGACATTAGATCTAAAAAAATAATTGATAAATATCCAATTGCTACTCTTTTCTTTTCTCCTTTTTTTTTGTTCACTTTATTACCAAAATTTCTTTCCGAAAAGAATTACCTTTGTCTGTCGGTGGAGGCAAAGTTGCCATTATTCTCTCAACTTGATTTATCGTCGATGAACCGGGAAAGAGCGGTTTCCCGAGTAACATCTCGCCAAAAATACAGCCTAAGGACCACATATCTATTCCTTTCGTGTATCTGTGAACACATTTACATTTCCCTGAATTGAATCCAAATTTAAACTTCACACACGAAAAGAATTTCAGTTCAGGAGACATTAAAGATGACTATTCGTTCATAATATAAAGATACGGAAAAAATGTCAATATATGTATCTTCAATTACAATTAAACACTATTAATAACTATTATAAATTATTATAAATTTTATTTTTATGATATAAATCAATAGATTATAAATTAATCATTTTCTGCTTAAATAATCACAATGTCTTCCTTAATCTTTATTGAAATTTTTATTCGCATAATAACTTACAAATGCGAACAATTTTCCTCATAACATTCCAGACGAATATCCAAATTGAAATAATTTGAACTTCATTATTATCTAATATAACATCTATTCGTTGATATATTTTTTAAAAATTAACGTATACCTCTTTGAAGCTATAAGAATCTCCGGTGCGCGATACCATCGAGTGGCGACATAATCTGTCAAAGTTGGATCACTTCCTGCCTCGCCGTCACCCTCTCCAATTTGTGTAACCGATCGTGCCAAACCAAAATCCGCAATCTTGCAATGGCATTGTGCATTTAAAAGTACGTTGGATGGCTGCAATGAAAAAATAGCGTAAATTCGATAAATAATACAATTTCTCTATCATAATATATAAATATTTAAATAAATATATAAATATATATTTAAAATGTGTATATATAGATATATATTAAATATATCTTAAATAAATAATAAATAAACAAATTGAAAACTTAATAATGTATAAAAAAATCATAAGAATTAAGAAACTTTTACGAACCATTTTTTTCTCAGTATTACATCTTATTAGAAAATATATTTTGCGCATCAAAAAGATATTTTGAGCATTTTACATAACTTAAAAAAATTTACTTAAAATTAAAATTACAACAAAATTGTTTAAGGATATAGATTTTTCTAAATGATTAAATATTTATAAAAAAAAAATATAGTTTTTATGCGCGAGTTTAGATCATAAGACTCAGCATCACCTTCAAATCCCTGTGGATAACATTGCCTGAGTGTATGTACTTGACCGCCTTAAAAAGTTGGTACATAATGAAGACCTTGTGGATGTCCTTAAGGATGTTGCCCCGCTTGATGACGTTGTGAAGATCGGTTTCTGGGGAAACGGGCCGAAACGTGTTTCAGGCCGAAAGTCTGAGAATCGGCGCACATGGCGTGACCTTTCGTGTGCATATTTGTGCGAATTCTTCTTCAGACTGGGTAAAACTCACCCATGTACTCGAAAACGAGATAAATGTCCCGATTGTTGTCCGCCTTGTGCAGTCCAATTAGCTTTATAATGTTCTCGTGATTGGCGAACGACAGTAGAAACATAATCTCGCGGAACGTACGCTGCGCATCCGTCTGATTTCGAAAAGCATCGAAGATCTTCTTTACCGCAACGGTATTCTTCTTTTTCCTTTCGATCGCCTTCCACACTATACCGTAAGCCTATATAGAAAAAAAAAATAAATTAGACAATATTACTATTAATATAAAAAAATCTATGAGAAATTTTTTAAAATTATCCACATTTTTTTTCTCTCAAATCAAATTACGATTATTCGGAAAATATTTCTTGAACAATAAATTCCTTACAATTAAAATAGTGTATACTTGTTGTATATTAATAAATATGTTAATATGCAAAATAAAATAGATATGTGTTCGAAGTTTGATGAAAATGAGAAAGAAAATCTTAGTTTAGCGATAAGAAATAAGTTAATATTAAAACAAATGCATATGTACATAAGTTACATTTATAATTATTTTATTAAACATTTTCCATTCTTTTATACATGTTACCTTATTTGCATTTAAAATTATTTTGATCAAACGATATACCGTAAAATATGAGTAAAAAGTGTGCAAGTACATTGTTGCATGAATATTGCAACAATTTGCATTCATCATGATATGAATGATATCGTCTTGCGACGTCTATCATCAGATACAAATTATGTAAATAGGTGCCTGACAAAAACGGCTAGCCGTAATCCGTTTGTCATCGTTGCAATGGCGACGCTATTGATTGCTTCCAACTGTACTTTTCCTGATAATCGTGGCGATTATTGATATTCTCGAAAGTTGAAAAATATTGATGTAACAAAAGTTTTTAGTACATGTCACATAGAATATCTACTGTACATATACTAATATTTCTTTTCGTATCATTGAAATTGCGGTAGGAATGTTTTTAAAAAATAATTTAAATCGAAAGATTATAAATAAAAAATAAAAAGTGGAAAATTGTAAGACAAACAATAACGTTGATAAAATAAATTTTGTTTTTAAAACAACTCAAAAATATCAAAAGATATAGATATCTTTTCGTTAAAATATTTGCTTATTACTCCAAAAATTTGATCTTGAAAAGTTGTACAAACTATCGTCACACATTTGGAAACTTTATATCTTTTTTATAATTTATATATTAACAAATAATACATAGGGTATGATTTCGAATAATAATAATAATAATAATTTCTTCCGGTGGGCACAAAGTTGTAATTTTAATGCAGGCATATTCTACATAAACTCGCGCATATTTCTTTCACGTGAGGGTAAAGATGAATTCGTTCATTTCCGCAATCATTTATTAATTTGCTCCAGGCAAGAAGGGAGGGACAACATTACCCCTTTGCCGAGACGTCGCACGATGTCGTACTGTTTGTTGATGTGCGCGTCAATCTCGGAGACCTTCTCCGCAGTTTTTTTCTCCGACATTGTCGCAGCCACAACGCCGTCGACGGAATCCACAAGTCGCTTGAAACGTGATCCCGAAGCGAAGGACCTTCGCACGTGGAACAGCCTCTTAGAGCGAACGCGAAAAGAAGTGCGAGCCGTCGCAGCGTATTCACATCTTTGCACATCGGGCAGGCGACCCCCGATCGAGGAACTCTTTTTTCATGCGACCCTTGGCACGACAATGCGTGCCTTTGTTTACAGAATTGATGGCAGTTGCCGAGGCGACCGTGTCCACGGCCAGTGATGTCGCCTGCATGGATGTATTATAAATAGATCGAGCATTAACATTGTACATACATACGCTAATGTCCATTCATTCAAAAAAAAAAAAAAAAAAACATAACAAAGATAAAAAGGAAAATATCGATTATAGTTAAAAATTAATTAATTCTGCGAAACTCAAATTTTTTGTGCTTAAAGAAATGTATATAACGTGTAACTAGCAAATTTTAATTTCGGACTTTAAACTGACAATTAATCTACAATTTTTAAATATCTTATATACAAATAAAAATTCTGATATATATATCAGATATATATATAT